GAAACAACTGCTCACTTTTTGAAATTTTTGAAGGTTTATTAAACTTTAACAAAAAAAAAAAAATACAACAGAAGGACTAAATATGGAAAAATTACAGTGCTGGGAGCCCCCATGATGTGACTACCAGCCGTGTGCTCATCTTCAAATTGGATGCTCTGCTTTTTACACCTCTAGCCCCTCTAGAGTCCTGTCAGTTAGGACAGGGTCCTGACTTGCTGCCCAGGGGTGCAGATCACTTTCTCACACCTTGGCTGGAGCTCAGGTGTTGCCACAGTAACGAGCCAACCCTCCCAAATGCCCGAGTACCGAGGCCAGCCCATGATAACAGTGAGGGGGGACACATCACAATAACACAACTCTACATCTACAGAACTTCTCTTAACACTCACATAATGCTCACCCTTCACTGAGAGCCACCATGCCATCACTCATCTCTACCACCCACATTTACCTGCCTTTGTCTCCATCCTGGGCAGCCTGTGCCAGTGTCCCATCACCCTTTCAGTGAAGATTTTTTCCCTAAACTATAAGCTGCTGGCACATCCTCCTTTGGCCCCAGGCAGCTGCATGGCCAGACCCATCCTGTGCTGGGTGGGACACAGGCAGCATCATGTGCACTCTGTCCTTAGCAGGGTTAAGAATCTTAACCCCCGAGCAGTGACTCACTTGTTGTTGTTGTTAGTAATGAAGGGATGGGATTATTTTTGGGTTAAGAATGATTTATTGTTTAGATAAATACTAGTTTCAGAGGTTGTGAGATTTTAAAGGAGTATTTGGTTATAGTTTAAAGTAGTCACAAGTTTCTTTGTTATAAGGTATATATATAACTTTTTAAACTAATAGATAGTTGCTACAGGGTTTATTTTGTTTTTTTTTAACTTATCACTTTTACTTGTACTGTGTTATTACTATTTTTATTCGATGGGCTTCTAACTCACATACACACATATGCTTTATTATAACTTAATAAACTTATGAAAGTTTTTTAACTTTTAAGCTTAATAACTTTTTATAACAAATCAAATGCTTCAGTATCTGTAGAAGTTTGTGTTTTTCCAACTCCCACAACTTGCCATTGGCTGGACTCACCACACCTATTTCTGCAGCAGACATTGGCTGAGAATGGGCTATTTTAATCACCTTTCTAGCTGCTGTCAAAGGCTAGAAAAGGATCTGAGCCTGTCGAGTCTTAAATTCTTTTTGCTAGGATCGGGATTAAATGTGTGATTTTTTGTTGGGACTCAGATGTTTATTAATTCTTATCTCTGTCACAGTCTCACAAACCCTGAGTTCTACAGCACTTCACTCTAACAAACAAAAAATGGAGCCCTGTCTCTCTCTCTACAAGGCCTTTTAAGGGAAAACTGTCCAATTAAGAAATGACGCCTCAATTATTTTTATTTTAAAAATAACTAACTAATAAGTAATAACTAATAACAAATTACTAATTATTATTAATTGATAATTAATAATTAATTACTAATTAGTAACAACCTGTGGCCTGCAATGTGAACTTTTTTATCTAATTACACAATACTCCTTAAATTTATGAAGAATAAGGTGAAGAACAAGGACCAGCCTCTGCCTTAAAACCTCCATCTTGCTTTATATATATTACTAAATGATATATTCTAAAACTTTAGACTCTAAGTTTCCCACCCTGTGATATCACACACTTCTATTCAAACTCCACACCCACAATCCCAGTTCTACCATTGCGTTTTGGAAGCTTCTCCACGGCCTCAGGTCAGTGCAGTGTTCTCTGGGGGTCAGTGCCTGGCAGCACAGAAATCTGAAATTCTCAGCATCCAGAGTTCCAACATGTGCCTTAATCACACACCCCCCTGGAGGTGCCAGAGCAGCCCAGCCGGGGAGGGCAGCGCCGTTGCCCGTGCCCGGGTGCGTGGGCGCCGCGCCTCGCGCGGCAGGGCTGGCAGTGACGCTCTCTAACCGCTTCCTCTCTCGCTGGGCTCTGCCTCCTGCCCCTCCTGCCCAGCTCCTTTCCTGTGACTGATAATGGCACTGCTGAGAGGTCGCCAGGCTCGGCGGCCCCCCGAGCGAGCAGCCCAGGCACTGGGGCAGCAGGGCAAACCCAGCAGGGCAAACCCAGCAGGTCCTGCTCGTGAGAAACAACTGCTCGCTTTGACAATTTAAAAAGGTGTATTAAACCTTGACAAAAATACAACAAAGGACAACATAAGGAAAAATTCACAGCGCTGGGAACTGCCCTGGTGTGTACCACGTGGCTGGTTCGTCTTCAAGGTGGATGCTCAGTCTTTTATACCCCTGGGGCTGCATCAGCCAGCCCTGGCCCCTCTCACAGTCTGTCATTTTGCCATTTATCGGTGGAGACTGCTTTCTTTTAGCTTGATTGGAGATCAGGTGTTGTCATGCTGCACGTCCTAAGCAACAAGTTTTTTCCTTCCCAACTGCCCCAGGTAAGGGGCACATGTGCACACCTTTTTACCTGTCCTGGACAACCCTGGCAAAAATACAGGGGGGGAAAGGGAACTGTGGGGAGAACAGAGGACATCTAAACTATAGTAATATAACTTTACATCACTAAAGCTTTTCTTAATATTCACACAATAGTCATCCCTTAATTGTGAGAGCCAATCATCTCATTGACTATCTATAACACTCTGCTGCAGTGTGCCAAGGCACCCAGGATAGGAATAACATGATGAGTCTTGAGGATTTTTGTGCCTTTTTCATTGAGACCTATTGCTGGTCGGGGGTCTATGTACAAATCACAAATGGGACTGCTAGGAATGTGTCTTGAACTGTTTATTTTCCAGCATCAGTCTCATTACATGGTTGTGACAGTGAGAAGATGCCAGCAGCTCACGTCCCCGGCAGCAGACAAAGAACTTAATGTTACAATTCACTTCAAAAGTATTTTGACCAGTCACACAAAGCAAAAGCATATTGACAGTAGTTCTATCCACCACTATAAGCACATGTACCTTCAGTTTAAACAATGCTTGCTTATTTCCAATACAATACCTGCTTGTAAGCCTTAAGATACAATGCACAGAGCTCCATTATTAAGCTTAGAACTTCCTAACATCTCACTAGATAGACTTTTCTGTAGCTAAGGGAGTTATTCTAGACAAGTGTTAATACACAGACGATTGTGCTATTTGTCCTTACTTTTCAACTTGTCATATAATTTTTCTGCTGACAAACCTTATGGCTACTGCTTAGCTCTAATCACAGTTCTGCTGTCTCTGAGGCCTGCCTTTTGCACCTTTCCAAACCTCTCTAATTTTAAAGATTCCCACAAGACCTGCTTTGCCCTGTGTGCTGTGAGGACGGAGAGGAGCTGGGGGGGTGTCCTGTTCCTGGGAAAGTTTTTTTGTAGTCAGTTCTGTGGTCTGGACCCTCCTGAGAGGATGTGTGTGCCTCCTGGCCAGCCCACAGGTGTCCAAGCAAGGCTGTCTCCCCAAGGGAAACCAAAGCACACAGCATTTTCCTGGCAGCATTTCTAAAAGCACAGCTCTCTTGGGAGCATCCAGGAAAGCACAGGACAAGTCCAAGTGACACATGGATGTGACAGGAGCTGTCACAGGTGCTGGGGCTGTGTCCCCAGCAGAATGTCCTGGTAACCAAGCCATTCTGTGGCCCTTGCCAGCCCTCTGTGGCTTCTCCACTGGCATTTGTTGGTTGAATGTCAAAGTCTCAGCACCTCTGAGGACTGGTTCCATGTGTTGGCTTAGATCCCCTTTATCCTCAACCTCTGGGGACATAATTTAGTGGTGAACATGGCAGTGGTCAGTTAATGGTTGGACTTAATGATCTTAGAGGGATTTTTCAACCTTAATGTTTCTGTCATTTCCTGATTCTGTACACCTGGCTTAGGAACAGTCCTCCACTGTAAATTGATCAGGGGAGCTTCTTTCCACATGAGGAGGGGAACAAACCAAGCTGATATAAAGCACTGTCACTCTGGGAGATCACCTTTCCCAAGGGAACTGTTCCTGTGCCAAGGCACCTTCTTTAGTCCACAGCAACACCAGCTCTGCATCAGTGTTAGCCCAGCCCAGTGGTGCTGGTGCGGCCCAGCTCTGCTGTTCTGTTGGCAAGTTTGGAGGAAAGCTCAGATTGTTTGCAGGAGATACGGGAGTGTCTAATTCCAGAAACCAAGCATGGTTCTACTCAGCAGTCACAGAACCATAGAATGTGCTGAGTTGGAAGGAATCCATCAGGGTTATCAAGTCCAACCCCTGGCCCTGCACAATCCCACCCTGTGCCTGAGAGCTTTGTACAAATGCTTCTGGAGCTCAGACAGGTTTGGAGCTGTGACCACATCCCAGGGGATCCTGCTCCAGTGCCCCACCATCCTTTGGGTGAAAAACTTTTTCCTTTTATAATTTAAGTCTCCTGTAACACAGATCCAGCTGTTTCCTCTAGTCCTGTAACTGGTGACAGAGAGCAGAGACTGAAGCTGCCCCTTATGAGGATGTTGAAGTGCTCAGCGAAGCCTCCTCTCAGTCTCCTCTTCTCTGGGCTGAACAAACCGACTGATTCAAAGAAAACAATCCAGAGTTCAGCAGGAAATCCAGGTCCTCAACTCTTCTTCTGGTTCTCCTTGAGGAGAGAGCAGAAGCACAGGGGCTGGCAGCATCAGCGGCAGTGCCTTGGCAAAATGAACCAGCAATTGCTTAATTGCCGCCAGCTCCAGCCAGGCAGCAGCAGCAGGAGCAAACTGTGCCCAGTCCGGCACCGGCCCCGGGGGAAAGGCGGCACATGCCGGCCGGCCAGGGCCCGCTCGGTGCCGGGGGGATGCCGGGGGTCCGGCGGGCAGGCAGCGCTGCGCTGGGCGCTGGGCGCTGAGCGCTGAGCGCTGAGCTCCAGCCCGTAATGGAGATGCTCCTGCCGGGGCTGTCCTTGGGAACGCGCTCCCGTGGAGGACGCAGGAACAGCGGGACGCGGCTCTCCGGAAAATCCACCTGCGGGGCGGCTTCCCCCGGCCGCCGGGCGCTGCCGGGCCCCGGGCCGGCGGGCGGGGGACACGGGGGACACGGGGGACACGGGCACAGGTGAGGAGCCGAGGGCTCGCTGCCCCCGGCCGGCCCTGCGGGATGCTCGGCGTGGCTGCACCGTCCTCCTGCTCCTGCCGTGCCCTGCCGGCAGCCGAGCCGGCGGCGGGCAGAGAGCCTGCTCCGTCCCCAGGCAGCTGCTTCACCTTCAAGCCTGCGAGCGATGCTTAGGCAGCGCAGGAGATGGGATCATTTCCAGCAGCCCGCAGGACATCCTGACTCCCGGCCGTGCCGACGGAAGCAGAACCTTCCCTTCCTGAGTGCCGGACCCAGAGGTGACTGGTGGGACAGAGCCGTGCTGGGGTCGGCAGCCCTGGGGACTGAAAGTGCTGGGCAGTGTCTGTGCTGTGGGTGCTCCTGCTGAGGTAGCTTTGGGGCTGCAGTGCTGTGGGGAGAGGGTGAGGAGAGGCGCTGGGGTGTGGATCAGGGCTGCGTGAGGGAGCCTCTGCTCAGGAGGCTGGGGGCAGAAATGGCATAAGGATTGGCTGGTCATTTGTGGGAAAACAGGTCCCAGGCTACAGCTGGAAGGTGCTTTTTTCCCTTTTGCACAAAGGGAAGTGGCTATGAAATCACGGCCAGAGGTGCAAGATGACCCCATGCAAGAGGAGTTTTAAAATGCAAGTGAACAAACAGCAAGTACCAGTCAGGGAAAAATCCAGATCTTCTTTTCCAGAGCACCAATTCCACAGGGACCCAATATCTTGCTGAAAGTAAAGCCACACCTATAATGACTCTTCAAGGCCTCTGAGACTGTATCATGGACCTTACATCCCAACAGATAATCCTAATGCACAGATATCCACAGACAGAGGACACAGGGGATCCCATGTCTGGCACATCCCTGGCTGGGTCAGGGTGAATAGCTGGTGTGGTAACAGCTGGCACTCTTCCCTCCATGTGCATCCCTCCATCACCACTCGGGGCATCACCATCACCATCACCCCTGACACCCAATGCCACCAAGGTCAGAGCAGACAGGAATGCTGGGGGACAAGGGATGTTCCTGTTCTGGGACCTCACCAGTACCTCTGCACCAGGGGAGGGAGGCAGGAAGGCGAGGGGCACAGCAGTGACCTGCCTGGAGCCATTTCCTTCAGTGCTGCTTCCTCCCATCCCCTCCTGGGTTTTTCCCCTGGACACTGTCAGGTTCCTCTTCACTCACACCAGATTGCAGTGGCTGTCCTGGTCCTGTCCTTACAGCAAACTGACCCTGGGTTGGGATCTGCCCCTAGCCTGGACACTGTCTCCCCTCAAAGCCAGGTCTGCCCTGGCCCCAGCAGTCCCTGCTTGTAGGATCCAGCAGCTCTGCCCCCCAGGCCAGCCTGATGCAGCTGCTGCAGAGCTGGTGGTGTGACATGGGACAAGCAGGGCTGCACACAAAAGGCACAGTCCTGGCCAGAGCACCTCCCAGCTCTCTGCTGCCCACTGCACCCCTCTGTGAGCCCAGCCAGGGGCCCTCAGGAGGAGCCAGCTGGCACATCAAGCTCCAAGCAGGGGCTCAGAGGTGGCCAGAAGAGAGAGATGTGCCCAAAGGTGCATTCGAGGGCAGGCAGGGAGAGAGGGCAGAGAGATCTGCACTGATGAGTGACCAGGGACACTTGCAGATGTGCGTGTGCATCCACTGTATGCCTAGTGGGCAGGAGGGGCAGGGCTCAGTCCCAGGAGGGCAGCAGACATAGGTGGGTGCAGAAAAGGTACAGCTTGCTGCCCAGGTGGCACCGAGAACTGAAAAATGCCCTGGGTCAAGCACATGCTCTGACTCCCTCTGCTCCTGGTGTCCCTCACATCCAGTCTCTCTCTACCAGCTCATGCCTCATTTTCCACCAGCACCTTCATTTTCATGCTGTGGTCTCCACAGGTCTGTGTCCCCTCCCATGCTCTCCCTTCACATGCACTCCTCAGCGTGCTGGTGCTTTGGCAGAGGGGAGGAAGGGCAGCCATGCTGGCAGGTGGGAGCACACCAGGCTCCAGCTGTGCACCATCAGAGGTGTGCAAGGGTCAGGACATGCACCTCCTCAGCAGTGCAAACTTTTCTGCTCCTAGGAGCCTGGGCCATGGCACATCCCCACACAGCACCCCCACTGCATTCCTCCTGCCCTGGGTGGGTGGCCATGGCCAGGACACTCTCTTCAGTCTCCATCAAAGTTTTCCGCACAAAGAGCAGCCCAAGGGGCCAGGTGCAGGTTCCAGAGGTTATCTCCTGGGTGTCCTGCTCAGCTGCAGCTGGCACAGGCTGGTGTGTGACTGGCAGGGCCAAGCCAAAACACAGGGAGCTTTGAGCAGCAGAGGGAAGCTGCTGCAAGGCTTTTTTGAGGACATCCCTGAGCATGAGGACCTTGGTGCTGTCATGCTTCAGAGGCAGAGGATGCACTGCATCCCAGCATCTCAGCTTCCCCTTTTTACTCTGAGTGAGGTCCTTTGTCATGACCAAATTCAGGTGGAACCAAATAAGCCATTTTGCAAAGGAAATGCATCAGCATCTTTCCTGCAGCATCCAGAGGCATTTAATGGCCAAGGCAAAGCCTGGCAAGGGGAATGTCTTGGTTTGAAAAGCCAGGTGTCTGCCAAGGAGGGCAGGAGCCTCCCTTGAAATTGAAAATGTAATTTCCTTCCCTCTGAATTATTATGATTTTGAAATTAAGGGGCTCTCAGGCAAAGACATGGCAGTAGGAATAACAATTCTTTATTAGGAAAATTAAATATACAAATGCAATAAAACAAATAAACAAAACAAAACAAAAAAACCCCCCAAAAAACAAAACCCACTGCCAGAGTCAGAAGGGGAAATGGCCCCCTGTGGGTCAGGGTGGTGGCACAGCCCCATCCCATGGTGGCTCAGCCCTCCTGCAGTGCCAGCTGTGCTTCTGCTGGAGCAGGGATCCTGCACAAGGGGGGAGTTTTCCTCTGGAGCTCCAGGGCTGCTGGAGATGGGCCGGGTCTCCCTGTGGGAATGCAGGGCAGGAGAAAGCTGCTCCTCTGGGAATGCAGGGGGCAAAGGCTGCTGTGCTGTTCCAGGCTCAGATTGTATCCAGGTAGGAATGCTTGGCTCCTGCCCTGGGCGGAGCATCTCCCCATGGGATGCTGGAATTTGATCAGCCATGCAGGGACACTCAGTGGCCATGGACAGCAGAGATCTCCTGGAGGGAGGATTGGCTGTGGGAGAGACGAATAAAACGGCCCCATGACCAGCAGAGAACTGCCCCAGCTCTGACAGATGGGGACAGAATGCACAGCCCCATTTCCAACCTGAGACATTCTATCCTCAGGAACCCCTTGAGCTCAAAGACACCCAGACGGGACAGGTGCCCTCCACACTTAGAGCACAGACACAGTCCCAGCCTCAGGAAGTGTCTGTATGTCTAACAGGGTGTTACTCCAGCACAGAATTTCATTTGCTTACTCTGGTTCCTACTGGGAGCAAGTTTCTGAAGACACCTTTTTTAGTCCTGCAGTGCTGGTCATCCCAGCTATTCCTGAGCTCTGTCAGGGACAGTGGGAAGGAAGGGCAGTGTGTGGTGGGGCTGCCTCCGGCCTTATAGATGTTCTTTCATCCCACACAGGGCACAGAGAATTCCTCAGTCTATCCTCCAGCCACTCTAGGATCTGCAGGTGAGACACGGGTCCTGGATAAGTCTGTTCTGCTGCTGGCCAAGGCCAGCACTTTCTCTGGAGCTTGGGTCCTCTGATGTCCTAGCCCTCGGGTGGCACTGGGTGGCACTGGCAGGGTCTGGCAGGGCTGCCCAGGGAAGCTGTTCTGGCACACCTGCAAACACACAGGTGTGCACAGACACGCAGCTCTCCAGCGAGGGGACAGCACAGTCACCTCAGTGAGCTGGGCTGGGGTGGCTCTGGCCAGAGCAGCCCTCAGAGCAGACACAGGAGAGGTGTTTGGGGTCTGTGGGGCTGTTGGGGTGCAGCAGGAGCTGCTGCAGCACAGCGGGGTGGGGGCTGAGGAGGAAGGAAGCTGCAGAGCCCAGGCACGAGCAAACAGGAAGAGCGGTGGGGATGTGTCAGGAAGGATGTGCAGTGCCCCGAGGGCAGACCTGGCCTACCTGAGCCAGGCCCCAGGGAACTGCGTCCCAAATACATCCCTGCCCTTCCCTGCTGGAAGGACAGACCTGTCCTACCCTGAGGTACCCGGGGTGGTTGTGGGTGCACAGGGGTGTCCCCACGGGGGCAGGGATTGGGACAATGGGGTGGCACAAGGAGCACATGGGCAGGCACCGGGGGTGGGAGGCTCTGAGCGAGCCCTGGCACATTCCAGAGGGATGGGGAACAGCCAGGGCACGGCCTGGGCAAGAGGACAGCGGGCATGGGAGGATTCATCCTGGCTCCCTGTGGGCTGTGGGGTGTGATGCCCCCAGAGCAGCCCCACTGCACCATGCCAAGCAGCCTGCCTCACCAAAATGTCTGGCCTTGCCCATCCCTCCGTGCCCCATGGCGTGCCACAGAGGGCAGGGAGCACACGCCAGCAGCCCCGGCGGAGCTGCCTGTGGAGGCAGCCGGGCTCGGGGAGGCCGGGCCGGGCCCGGGGCAGGCCGGCCGTGGGGAGCAGGGCTGGGCGGGCGGGCCGAGCCAGCCGCAGAGATGTGGCCGGTATGTGTGTGGGCGGCAGCCGGGGTGGGGGAGAAGGAGGGAGAGGAAGCAGCAGAGGCAGCAGCTCCTTTGATAAGCGGCTTCCTGAGCACTTGCAGACCGTGCTGCCAGGCCGGGAGCGGAGCCCTCGCACGGGGCAGCAGGTAGGCAGCCCCCAGGCCAGCAGGGAGCCGGGAGAGCCCCGGGCCTGTGCCAGGGGCGGTGGGCATGTGTGCGTGCATGGCAGCGCCAGGCTGGCGGGGATGCTGGGCAGGCCATGTGGGCGCTCTCCCTGCCGCTGAGGTGCTTCCCTGGCACCTCCAGGTGTTTCCTGGCCGGACTGGGATGGGAGCCTGGGCTGTCTCTGGGCAGCAGCTGCTCTTGACCTGCCTGGATTGAGAACACCCTGCGTGGGGCACGGGGATGGTGTGAGTGGCAGTGGTGGCATTGCCACTGCCAGAAGTGCCACTGGGCAGCAGGGAGTCCTGGGGAGCAGCTCCTGCCCTAGCTGTGTTCCCAGCCACCATGTGGACACCAGCTCTCCACACGACCTCCCCAAGCAGATGGGCTGCCTGGGATCCCACTCTTTGCCCACCAAGAGCTCTGACTCTGCATCATTCCCTGCCTCTGGGTCTGTTTCCTCCTCATGGAGGAAGCAGGGGATGAGGGGGAGGTTCAGGATCCCAGGGGGCTGCCTGCACCATGAGGAGCTGTGCCCAGAGGTGAGTCAGCATCACCTGCATCTCCCAGCCCTGCCACGGGCTGACCCCTGGCTGGTGATGGAGGATGTCTGGCACCTTCCCCAGCTGGGCTGCCCCATGGCCTTTTGCTCAACCACACAGATAAAGCAGTTTCCTCTCGGCAGTTGCTGTGACCTGCAGGATGGAGGAGGCTGTACTAGGGCCATGAGGCTGTAGAGGGTGCTTGGTCTGTGTGTCCCTGCAGCAGGAGATGGCCAGGCTCCGTGCAGTGGCTACAGCCACCTTGTGTCACCTGCTGAGCGCTGCCGTGCTCAGACATTCCAGCTCTCAGTTCCCCACCATGTCCCCAGGATGAAGCAGGACAGTGATGGGGAAGGGCTGGGAGCACAGGGCATGTGCTTCCATGGAGGTGGAGAGCATCTGGGGCTCCCAAACCAGACCTGCCCTGCCACCACAAGGTGGGTGTTCTCCCCTCAGGGGAAGCAGGTGGTGCTTGGTGGCATGCCCAGGGTCACCAGTGTGGGCTGCAGTGCTGCAGGCATCCCCGAGGGTGACTGTGCTGGGAGCTCTCCAGGATATCTGCAAACAGGGGCTGGGGTCTGTTTTCAGGACAATTAAGCAGTTAAAATCCATCCCTTGCTTGCAGACCATCTGTGGGGGCTCCATCCAGCCTTGTGGTGTCTCTCAGATCTGACTTTTCTTTTCCAGCTGCTTCTCCTCTGATGGCTCCACGATCTCCCAGGAGCTGAGAGCCCCCTGTGTGGCCCTGCTGTGCTTCAGGACGAGGGCTCTGTGGTTGCTGCAGCATGGTCCAAGCCTGCTTGGTGTGCTCCAGAGTTCATAGGGGCAGCCTGGCAGCCCGGGCAGCTGCAGTGGACATGGACAAGCCAGACAAGCCCAGTCCCCCTGCCAAGAAGCACGTGCGACTCCAGGAGAGGTGAGTGTGCCTCAGGGTACCCATGGCACTGCTCATCCCAGGGCTCCCCTGACCTTCCTTCCTGCCAGCCTGTGCCTGCAGCTGCCAGGTCTGAGTGTGGAGGCAGCCCTGGCCCCCACCCAGCCCAGGACAAATCCCAACACCTTCAGTCCTTCAGGGGCTTCCCAGCAGAAAGGCAAAATGTTCAGCTAGCTCCGTTCCTCAATCTCCCCATCTGCTGGGGTCTCTGTCTGGCTTTTGCTCAGTGTGGGGTGGTTTTAACTGATGATGCAGTGGGGTGGGCTGTCCTTCTGTCCCAGGGTGGCAGTAGGTCAGCCAGGGACCCCTGTGCCTTGCAGGAGGGGCTCCAATGTGTCACTAGTGCTGGATATGAGCTCTCTAGGGAACGTGGAGCCCATCCAGCCTGTCTGCACGCCACGGGACATCACACTGAAGTTTCTGAGGACATCCAGCCACGTGCTGAGGAAACAGGAGCTCCAGCAGCACGCCCAGAGCCTGGCACAGCTCCAGGAGGAGTTTTCGGTGCGATGATCATGATTTTCTCTCTTCCTCCTCTCAGGAGGAGTGGCAGGGGCTGGCGGTGGTGGGGCTGATGGGGTGAACATTGGGCTCTGAGCCCAGCTGTGCCCCACAGCCCCAGTGGGAGAGCAGGCGGTGTGGGCAATGAGGGGAGGGGTGCCCAGGTCCCACCTGATCCCTGGCGCACACATTTCCTGTTGGGGTCCCTGGAAAACCCTGTCCTGCCCTCCCATGCCATGCTCTTCTCCCAGCACTGCCTCTCTGGAAGGACTCCCACCACAACTGGAGTAAAGGCAGCACTCATCCCAGGAGCTGCCATCTCTGGGATGCCCCTGGGTCAGCTCTGCCCTGCTGGGCAGCCAGGTCTGCCACCACCAGGGGACACAAGTGGCAGCAATGGGCTTTTCCTCATGGCTGTTTTCTCCCCCTGCAGAAAATCCCACCCAACTTTGTGAGTCCGGAGGAGCTGGAAATCCCTGGGCGTGCTTTCAAGGACAGATACAAAACCATTCTCCCCAGTACGTGCCACTGTGTCCCTTTGCCCCCCATTTGCCTGTGTTTGCCTGTGGGTGAGGGGTGGCTCAGAGCAGCCCTGGCACTGGGTGGGCACCCCTGGGTGCTGTTGCTGCTCCGTGTGCCCATGTTGCAGGGGTGTGCACAGTGGTGGGGGTACGTGAGGAGCTGCTCCCTGCACTCCCAGGTGTGCAGCACTCGTGGGGCCTTCCATGTCCCAAGGGCATGGTCCTGAGAGTGTAAAGGCTGAGGGTGTTCTGGAGGGGCTCAGCTGGGCTCTAGTCAGGTTCTGTGGATGTCCTGGGGATCACTGCAGGTGAGTTACCCCACCTGCTCACTAGGGCACCTGCAGGTTTGGGCTGTGCCCTGCCAGGGGAGTGAGGCTGAAGGGGGACAAGAACAGGCCTGAGGGAGGGTGCAGACAGCTCTGGGCATGGCACGGAGCAGGAGGACTCCGCCTCCAGCCCCTGGGGTCAAGGCAGGGAGGATGGGCAGGATCAGTCCCTTGGGTAAGTCCTGTGACATCTTTCAGATCCTGAGAGCCGGGTCTGCCTCAGGAGGGCTGGGAGCCAGGAGGAAGACAGCTACATAAATGCCAACTACATCACAGTGAGTGTTCTCCCAGGGCTGCAGCGAGGGCTCCCAGGGCATCAGGCTGCAGGTGCCACATGCTGGGGCACTGTCACCTGCTCTCCTGTGCCTGCCCTGGGGCAGCAGACTTAACTTTCCCCCCCTGTTGGAGCTGGAGATGTGGCTCCATCTGCACAGGGCAGATACACTGTTCCTGTGGTGGGAGAGTCTCACGAGGGAGCTGCTCTCAGCTCCTGGGCACACTGAGCACCCCAAAGGGTCCCTTGCAGTGGCTTCTCCATCTGCTGCTCACACACTGGCACATTGTCTGGCAAAGGCACGGGAGGCAACCTGTCAGCAGGTTATGGCAGCTCAGAGATCCTCAAACCTCACTCATCCTGGGATTTCCTCTCTGCTCAGGGAGCTTGCTGCAATTTCCCAGGAAGGGAACTAATGAAGATAGGGTGTGGCTTATGTTTGGCACATGGTGGGTTCCTTTCCAGAGACTGAGAAATCCCCAGACCCTAGGGTGTTACTTAGACAACTTGGTTTTGATTCCATCCCTGTGCAAACCCTTCCAGGCTGCAGTCTCTGCCAGAATGGGATCTCTGTGAGCCAGGTGCCAGCTTTGCCCAGCGGGCAGAGTTCTGGCTGAGCAACTGCAGCACCTGCCCATGGGGCTGCCCAGGGCCAGGGAAGCAGAGGGATGTGAGTGAGGCAGTGAGGAAAGCAGGACTTGGAAAAGCAGCCCACAAAAAGTGCTGGCTGGGGTGACACACAAACCCCTGGGAGGAGCTGGAGGGCTGTCAGGAGCATTTCTTTTCTGATGGTGCTTGTGGCTCAGACCCACAGCAGTAACCAGCACCCAGCAGGGAGGGTGAAAGCTCTGTGAGACAGGAGCACTGTGCCCAGAGCTGCTGGGAGCTCCAGGGGCAGTTTGCCCACGGGCAGAGGAGCTGTGTCTCCTGAGGCAGCCTGGCAGCATGCAGCTGCACCTCAGGTGACACTGGCACCCTGTCCCTACACCCCGGGGTGTGGGACACCCAGGAATGCTGGGTTTTTCTTTACAAGGTCTTTTAAGACTAAACTATTTAATTAAGAAATGACACCTAAATTATTTTCACTTTTAACTCAATAACTCAAATAATTACTCAAAGTCTGCAATATGGGCTTGTCTAATTACAAAACACTACTTAAACTTATAAAGAAGAAGGTGAAGAAGAAGGACTAGTAACTGCTTTAAAACTTCCATTTTAGTTCTATATATACTATTGTATTCTAAAACTAAGTTTTCTCCTCAGTGATATTACACACTTCTAACTAAACTACATACTCATAGTCCTAGTGCTGTCAATCAATTTTGGGAGCCCTCTCTACAGCCCCAGGTCAAACAGTGTTCCCCTGGGGGTCTGTCAGCACAGAAATTTTAAAACTCTCAGCAGCCAGGGTTCCAACATCTCCCCCTCTTGTTGCATCCCCTCTGCCTCACCTGACTGCTGGCAATGCACAAGCACTGCCCACCCCTGTGTGCAGCTGGTATTTCCTGCTCCCTTCCTTCCCCTTGCCTCCTCAGAGGTGCAGTGCTGCAGGAATTTGTGGGCACATCAGAAAATTGGCAACACAGCCTGCCTGGGCCTGCCTGGGAGGCACAGGAATCTGGGAGGGCTCTGCAGGAGATTGATCACATCAGCCCCACCTGGGATTGATGCTCTTCCTGCTGAGGTGTTCCATGAAATGTTTTTGAGCATGGCTGCAGGGGGAAAGTGGAATTCTCAGGGTTGACACCCCCACAGAATGACATTCCTTAATCATGTTTCCTAGGAAAAATAAATCATCTCGAGGCATGAAAATAGGGCTCTGCAAAATGTTCCTGAGAACATTCCTGTCCCTTAGCTGGGCCAGTGCTACTTCTTGTGAGACCAAAGCATTAACAGATTGCTGGGAAGGCCTGGATTTTCTATACCTTTGGCAATTTTATACCAGGAGAAGTATCTGGAGACAGAGGATGCTTGGAGCTGTGGAACAGGGATTCCTTTTTATCCTTGTGAAATTCCCACAGTGAGGAGTGCAGCTCCTTGTGTGAGCTTTGCCTCGCCAAGGCACCATCAGCTATTGTCACACGGATAGTGACCTTGGGTGTGCAAGGCCAGCTGCATGGACTTGCTCCTGGAAGATGGGGCCAGTGGGGTGGGGAGGATGCCTGGTGGCTCCTCAGCAGATCTACAAAAGCATTTTAAGGACAGGTTTAGTAGGAAACAGCACGTGTGGCTCAGCCTCTGAACCGTGGAGGAGAGCAGCGCGGTGAGGGCTGGAGCGAGCTGGGCACAGCCCCGGTGCCCTCAGGTGTCCCTGACAGCCCCTGTGCTCGGCAGGGCTACGCGGGGCGGCCCCGGGAGTACATCGCCACACAGGGCCCCCTGCTGAACACCGTGACCGACTTCTGGCAGATGGTGTGGCAGGAGGAGGCTCCCCTCATCGTCATGATCACCGAGCTGCAGGAGCGCAAGGAGGTACACGGAGCCTGCAGGGCCTGGGCACGGGGTGGGTGTGCTCACAGTGCAGGTTGTGTGAGGCCAGAGGGGGGGCTGTGCACCCACTCACTGTGCTTTTGACTCAGAGGGTTCCCTGGTGAATCACAAGTGGAGGAGGAGATCCCCAGGCCTGCACCCTTGGCCCTATCTGGTTTTCCTCCTCACATGGCTGTGTGCTCTGGGCTGGATAATAGGATAAAGGGTTTAGGGCAGCCCCCAGGGATGGGCCAGAAGTAGTGGGCAGCAGTGCCCCTCTGGCCCCCCAGAGCTCTCCCCTGGGCTGGACCCCCTCCTGAGAGCTCTCAGCCCAGGGGAAAGCTCTGGGGGGACAGAGGGGCACTGCTGCCCACTGGTTCTGCTCCTGGGATGGGAGCCACCAGTACCTGCCTGGGGGTACTGAGAACTGGAAACTTTCCTGGCCATGTCCTTGCTCCCTTCTCTCCCAGCTTACAGCCTCCTTGTCCCCTGGTCCCTCTGGAACCTTCCTGGGCTGAGCAGGGATATGTATCCCTGGGGCCTGAAAGCCAGGCCAGGGCATAGGAGAGGGTGCAGGGGTAGGGACCTATCCCTTCTTTGCTTTCCCTCTGTATCACTCTACCTCCACCTTCCCTGCTCCCCTACCACCCCCAAGGTGCTGCCCCCTCCCAAAAGCACTGACTCAAGCACAGTTCAAACGTCCTTGAGGAGGGTCCTTGGGTGCCTTGAGCATCTCCACAGCCACAAACCTGCCTTGTTCTCCAGAAATGTGTCCACTACTGGCCCGAGAAGGAGGGCACCTATGGCCCCTTCACCATCCACGTGCAGGGCGTGAGCGAGTCTGTGGAGTACGTGGTGCGGGATCTCTCCATGCAGGTGGGTCTGAGCCTCATCCTGGGGGCACAGAGGGAGCACTTGGGGCCCAACAGTGCCCCTGGCACCCTTGGCATCTCTGGTGAGATGGCAATGCTCCGTGACAGGGAAGAGGAGGGTTCATGATTCTCAGGAGGCCCCTGCCAGAGGAGGGGCATGCAGAGCCTGGAGAAGCTGGGAGGGAGCAGGAGCCAGCCCTGGGGTGCAGAGGAGAAGGGGTCAGCTGGGCAGAGCAGCACCAGCCTGCTGTTTTTGCACTGTGCCATTAGACTCTGCCCCATGGGCTCTCTGTGTCACCCGGGGCTGACCCCAGCCTAGAGGATCTGGCTTGCTTTGCATGGACTCTGGTGGCAGCACTGGAACACTGCCTTTGTTCTCATCCTCTGGGTGGGACACATCCATTGGCTCTGGCCCAGGGGTCTTTTCTTCATGTCTGGCAGAGGCTCAAAGAGGGACTCAGGAGGAGTGTGGCTGAGATGGGTATGGACTGCTTGAGCTCTGCTGAGCTGAACACCCCGTTTCATCTGGCCCGAGCCCTCACATCCCCATTTCTCTTTGTCCTGTGCTGGAAAAGCTTGGGAAGGAATGCCGCAAGGTCAAGCACATCCTCTTCCCCTCCTGGCCGGACCAGCAGACACCCGAGTCAGCCAAGCCCCTGCTGCACCTGGTGGCCAAGGTGGAGGAGGCTCTGCAGGCTGCAGCCAGCCCAGGGCCCATCGTGGTGCACTGCAGGTAAGAGCTTGCACCTCACCTGGGCCTGTCTGTGCTTCTCCTTGGGGTCAGTCCCCCGAGAGTCCTCATGCACAGATCCCATGCTGGTGCAGAAATCCCAGGGCTCAGCCACCCACAGCAGAGCTGTCAATCAGCAGCTCCCATCCTGGCAGCAGGATGGTGGCATTAGAGTGGCATATCCTGCACTGGGGTCCAGCAGGGTGGGAGCAGGAGGGGTCTGCATTTGGGACCCAGCCACCAGCCCCACCCTACACCCACAATTCCAGCTCTGGAAGATCCTGCTTGAGCAGGGAGATGGAACCAGGTGACCCCATGGTTGGTCCCTTTGAACCTGACCCATTCCTGCTCCCTGTGCCACCAGCATGGCCTGTGGCTTGGATGTGGCACCGTGTTTCAGGACAGCCCTCCTGCAGGAGGTGGCCTCTGCCTATTCTCTCCTTGCTGAGTGAATTTGGGGACGGTGGAGCAGAGCACCTGGTTATCCCTAGGGAACGTGCAGCATGCACTGCTGCAGGCTGAGTGCAAACCCTCGGGGAGCCCAGCTGGGAGGGAAGGGGGCTGCAGAGCCCACTGCACAAGGATGGGCACAGACTGGTTTTGTGTTTGCAAAGCAGCCTCAGCTGGGCTGTGCCACATGGCAAGAACTCCTTGCCATGGCAGTGACCCCAGCCCATGGCTTTTGGTGCCTGGCTCAGAACCTTGGTCTGGCAGCTGGGGCCAGGACCCCACATCCCTCTAGGCAGAAATCACAATCCAGGAGTGCAGCCAGCTCAGCAGTGCAGGTGCAGGCAGTGGGTGCTGTGGGTGCTCACAGCTGTGTCTGCCCTGCAGCGCGGGCATCGGCCGCACCGGCTGCTTCATTGCCACCAGGATCGGGTGCCAGCAGCTGCAGGACAAGGGGGAGGTGGATATCCTTGGAATCGTGTGCCACCTGCGCATAGACAGGTGGGTACACAGAGCAGGTGGCTCCTGGAGGCTCCTGCTGGGTGCCAAGCCTGGGAGCAGGGCTGTGGGTGGGATGTGGCAGAGACATGGGGATGGGCATCTCAAGGGGGCACAGGGACTGTTTCTGCTGGAAACCAGGAGGGTTCTTGGGGGATGCAGGTGTGTGGATAGCAAACAATTCCCAGTGGCAGGCTGGTTCTGCAGTCAGAGCTGTTGTAGCTCTGACATGAGGACATGAGGGAGAGGAGAGGGGCTGTGAACCTGGCAGCCATCTGCTCCTCTCTTCCAGCTCAGCCACTAAATCCAGAAACACTCCACCTGGCCATTTTTCAAGAAGTATAGGTGAAAATTAGCACCAAGTCAGCTGCTAATCTCACTTTGAACAGCCCAGCAATGCTTCTGAACCCCTCTGTTTTTGGGCTGATCTGCTGCCTGCTTCAGAGGCATCTTGACATGGCTGGTGAAGTGGGAATGTTTGTGCCCTGGGGGCAGAGAGCTGGGAGCAGGATTCTGTGTTTGGTGAAGTGTCAGTGGGCCCTGCCTTTCCCTTGCAGAGGTGGGATGATCCAGACGAGCGAGCAGTACCAGTTCCTCCATCACACGCTGGCTCTCTACGCTTCCCAGCTGCCAGAGGGGGCAGGCTGCTAGTGCAGGGCCCCCAGCGGGCTTGTGGCTCCCTGCTCTGACCTCTCCTGCACCAGCCTCGGGGACACCTTCACCAAAACCCCTCTGATGCTGCCGGGCCACAGAGCAGCAGCGTGAGCATCCCTCAGGATGAGTACAGCCAAGCCAACCCCGACTGTGGCTTTGGACCCTGGGGATGAGCAAGGTGAGGTGGTGCACTGGGTGCTCGAGCTGGCCACTGCTGCTGGCTCCAGGCAGATTTCACCCATAGAAAGTAGCTTTGGCTTTTGAGAGGTGCAAGATCCTGACCAAGAAGAGCAAGCTGTGTGGAGGAACTGCAGCTGGCAGATGCTGGGAGCGTGGTTTGCCTTTCAGCTGCACACAAATGTCCACCCTGTCAGACACAGTGCTGGTGGAACTACCCTGAAATAAACAGAGCCTCTGTCCTGGCTGTGCATCCTTTGTGGGCAGGGCTGGGCTTGCTCCAAACATGCACCACTAAACTCCTCTTGCTAAAGACACACCTTGATGGCTTGGTGCACGGGCAGCTAACAGCACTCCACAGCTTGCTTCCCTCTCCACCTTCAGCCAACACCTTCTCAACAGCCTTAAAGCAGAATCCTAGAATTATAAAGATTGGAAAAGACCTCCAAGATCATCGAGTCCAACCTCTGAACAACCCCAATCAGCCCACTAAACTGCATCATGAATTGCCATGTATATTTGTTTCTTGAGCACCTCCAGGGATGGTGAGTCCCCCCTCTCCCTGGGCAGTCTGTGCCAGTGCCTGAGCACCCTTTCAGGGAAGAAATTTTTCCCCATATCCAACCCAGACCTCCCCTCTCTCTAGCAGGGGAGATTCCCAAGTGCAGTTTGCAAGTGATGTGTTCCCAATTGCCATGAGGGTGGGGATTTGGAACTCTTGGGGTTTTTTTCTGAAATCAGAACAAAAAAATATTTGGTTTTATTAGATTGTCTTTTAAGTGATAAATCCAGGGGGGAAAAATCGAAGATGGAAAAGCATTTTGTCATAAAGCATGGAGATGGAAATACTCTGTGAAGTATTTTGAAGTACTGTGAAGGTATTCAAAGCTGCCCTTGCCAATGGGCATCAAACACCCACTTGGGCAGTGAGGGCTGGGAAGGAGATGGGATCTGCCCTGTCTGTGCCCACCCATGTCCTAAGCCTGACATGACCCAGTGTGAGATCCAGGGAGAAAAGGCCCAGTCTTCCTGCTGGAAGACATGTGTGCATGAGCTACCCCTTCCCCACTCCATGGCTCCCCAAAGTGCAGCTGAATTGCTGCCCAGTGGTCTTCCCTGTCCACATTCCTCCTTGGCACCAGGAACAAATCTGCTTCCTGGCCCAGCAGCAGGAAAAGGAGCAGATCTCAAGTGACATCCTTTCACCTGCTGCATTCCATCATCCTGGCAGAGAAATCCCCTTGCTCCTAGTGCCAGGTCAGCCCTTCCTCATGCCCCAGCCTGCCCAGCCGGGTGATTTGGGGGGAATTGTGTTCTCTGTGGGACTCCTGTGTGATTCTCAGGCACTTGGACAGGCTGTGGAGCTTCTGCAAGCTCCCTGCAGGTCAATGCATGGCTCAGGACTTTGTGTTCTCAGATAATTTGGTGTAACACTGTTATCTTTAATGGTGTCTCTGGAAACACCCATAGAGGTTTGAGTTGTGAGACAGGCTTTATTCAGCATCCCCTTCCTCAAGTCTTTCCTCACCCACTGCCATCAGGCAGGAGAAGTTGAAGTCTTGCAAACTGCACCTGGACAGTTTTCCTGCACTCCCTGGACAGCAGGACACACTCCATTTTCCTCATGCTTTCAGTTTGCTGTCCAGAGAGCTCAGGGCAGGCTCAGGCCAAGGGCTGCCTGAGGCTCTGCCAAGGCATGCAGGAGCAGCACCAGGATCACAGCTGGGCCAGGCATGTTGTCACCTCCTCCCAGAATCCCCATCAGCTGCTGGGAGTTTTTCCAGCTCAGCTGTCTGATGCAGATTATTATCAGTTAAGCAGGTTTCCTGCCTTTTGATTTCAGTTTTACCAGCTCCATGGCCCTTCCCTGGCCCCTGTGGGAGTTCTCTCCATCCTGGGTGCACTGACCCCTGAGCAGTGCTGGGGGCTGTGCTGAGCCATCACCTGTGTTATTGCCAAGCCCTTCCTGGGCTCACCCCACGTCAGGGGTGCAGCAGGGTTTGTGTAGCACAGTTTGTGTGGTTGGGATGGGGCTGGCCCAGCCTCATCCCCAGTGGGTGCAGCTGTGAGAAGCAGGTGAGCAGCACTGACAGCAATGAGCCTTGGAGTGCCCAGGTGTGCTGAGCACCCACCAAAGGGAGCAGAGGGCACACGGGTGCTATGCATGAACCATGAGGGGTACAAAAGTTTGGGCTAAAGAACAAGAAGGGCTGATTGAAGCCCTCTGCAGTCGTTTGGTGTTACTCTGCATGGGTTGAAGCCCTCTGAAGTGGTTTGGTGTTACTCTGTATAGGTTGAAGCCCTCTGAAGTGGTCTGGTGTTACTCTGCATGGGCTGAAGCCTTCTGACATTGTATGGTGACACTCTGTGTATTGTGGCCGTCTCAGCTGTGACCTGTGCTGTGACAGGTTTGGTCTGCTCTGGCTGTGTCCTGAGAAACTGTCTCAGGTCCATAAACAGCACACTAGACAGAGGAAAGGAATCTCTCCAAAATCTTGTGCTTCCCCATGCTAGCATTAAGCCCCTGAACTTGGCCAGGGATTTCAGCCCAGCCAAGATTGCTGCTGTTCCTCAGTCCCCCACTTGAACCCCAGGTATGGTCCCAGTGTCCTTGTCCTGCTCAGTGTTCCTGTGCCCCACAGGAGGCACAGCCCAGCCAGGCAGAGCTGGGGGCCCTGGGGTGCAGCATCCTCCAACCATGTCCCCAGGAGGCCAGCTCCTGCCCAGTGCTCAGGAAAAGTCCTTCCTCTACACAATCATAAATAAGTTTGGGTTGCAAGTCCATCTAGTCCCAGCCACCTCCACCATCCCAGGTTGCTCTGGGCCCTGGGCACTCCCAGGGATGGGGCAGCCACAGCTTCTCTGGGCAAACTGTGCCAGGGCCTCACCTCCCTCTTTGTGAAACATTTGGTTTTTTACATCTAAGAAAATATATTAGGTATAAAGATATAAGATCCTGTCCTATCCACATGACTGTAATTTTGGCCTGAGATTTTCCCTGCTGGTAGTCCATTCCCTCCCCTTGCAACAACTCACTGGGATGGGAGGAACAAAACATGGTGGCCCATGGCACACATCACTGTTGTGGCACACATCACCGTTGTGGCACACGCCAGCTTTGGTGGTGGCAAGTAGACCCAGAATGCTCCAAATTCACTTGCAGCTGGAGGAAAGTTTCAATGCCATCAAACAGCATTGCTTCAGCAGGTCCTTGGAAAGGCACAGCATGTGCCAAAATCCAGCATTTTGAGTAATTAGTAATAGCTTTGCTCATAGGTGAGTGGTGGTAACGTGTGGACTCCAAGCAATCAGTGACCAAGCCATCATCTGGAAAGGAGACTTCCAGGGCACACTTTGACACTCCCAGGCAGCACTGGGGTGCCAGGACCTCAAGAAGGCTCCATGGGAGCACCTGCAGCAGGTGGGACCCCACAGCAGCACCCAGCCAGAGCCAGAGGGAGGCTTGCCCTGGGAGCACCAGGAACACTGAGGGACACAGCAGTGACAGCTCTTTGTGCTGCTCCTTGGCAAGCCAGGGTTAAACTCGGCCAGGGGAGCACCAGGAAAAGCCTCCCCTCACCCATGTGGGCTGGCACAGCCCTGACCTCTGCTTCCTTAAGGAATTCAGTTGAGCAACCACATCAAACCCTCGTGGGAATGTCAAACATGCTCTGGAGAGGTCTGGGAGTCTCAGGTCTGGAGAGGCCCTGGGGTGGTACCAGCTCTTGCACAGGACTCTGCCCAGTGCCCAGCTCTGGCTGAACAGACACCATGAGGTGACACCATGGGGACAGTGCTGCCAGGGTGCAGCCCTGCAGGTGCCACCATGGACCCTCTGCAGGGAGCAGAGCTTGGGACCCTGGTTCAAACCAGTGGGAAACGGCCCCATGCCCCCAAACCTGTCAGAGCTGACTCCCCTTGATGGGAATAAGGGAAATAGAGTGGGTGGAGTGGGGATAGTGCATGAAAATGATATTTTTTGCTTGTTTTTTTGTCTCTCCCAGCGTGGGGATGGTCAACAATGGAACTGTAGTTCCTGCTGTGAGGGTGAGTTTGGCTTGGGCACTGGATGGGCAGTGTCTGTGGCAGGGACTACAGGAACATCCAGGGGCAGTCCCTAACAGCTTCAATGCTACAGGAATGCTGGGGGAAGCCCCAAACTGCTGTAGGGACATTGTTAGGCCTGGAGTGTTTATTAAAAATCTGGTTTCTCCCATATTTGTGAGGCCCCACCTCGAATGCTGGGTAGAGTTTTGGGCCCATCATGAAAAGAAAGGCACCTCAAGTGCTGGAGCATGTCCAGAGAAGGAAATGGAGCTGGGGAAGGGTCTGGAGCACCAGGAGCAGCTGGGAAAGGGGCTCAGCCTGGAGAAAAGGAGGCTCGGGGGGAGCCTTGTGGCTCTGCAAAACTCCTGACAGGAGAGGGGAGATGGGGGGAGTTTGGCTCTGCTCTCAGGGAACAGGAACAGGAGGAGAGGGAACAGCCTCAAGTTGCACTGGGGGCAGTTTAGATTGGATATTAGGAAAGATTTATTCACCAGAAGGGTGGCCAGGCCCTGGCACAGGCTGCCCAGGCAGTGGTGGAGTCACCAGGGACATGGTTCAGTGGTGACCATGTGTTGGTATAACAGTTGGACTCAATGATATTAGAGGACTTTTCCCATCTGAACAATCCTCTGATTCTATGAAAATAAAAAACCTTCAAGCAGAAATTACATGCAAGATTTGGGGGATGATGAATTTTTCACTGATATGAGGAGTTCTGAAGGGGAAAAAAACAACAAAAAACAATGGTATTTCTGCTCCCTCAGGCCTCCCTTCAGGAGCACAGGGATCCTGATCTGGCTGCAGCAGCCTGGAAAGCAAAATGCTTTGTCTCCAAAAATAAAGTCAGCTTCCCCGTGACTTATAGCACATGAGGGAAACTTCCCCTCCCTTAATTGCCAGGGGCTGTGAGGTGAATTGAGCCCCAACCCAGTTTCCCCATTTCCTGTGCACACACATTTGTCTCAGGCAGCCCCAGCAGTGGATTCAGCACTTTGTCTCTCACAGAGCACCAGCAACCTCTACGTGTGGGCTCTGCCCAGCAGCTGCTGCAATAAAGGACCTGCTGTGAGGGAACTGCAAACAGCCTGGTGTGTCAGTCCTTGCATTGGGCCTGGCTCAAATCCCACGTGGATGGAACTGAGCCCTGTTGGCGTGGCACAGCCAGGCAGCCCCTGCCCTGAGCGCTCAGCACGGTGTGGGAGAGCACAGCAGAGCCAAGGCACAGCCCTGGGGCAGCTCTGCACCCCCAGCCCAGCAGAGCAGAGCAGGGCCAAAGCAAGAGGGTTTTGGGGCTGCTGAACCTGATGGCTGAAGGCTGCTGTGGCAGCAGGCTGGGTACAGGTCTCACAGGAACATCCTTCGAGGGAGCTGTGCCTTTGGGTTGTGTCTCGTTCTCCAGGTGGGAATTGTCAGCTTCTGTGGCATTGTTTGGGGTTCCTGGCACCCCCTACACCCCAGTGCCACTCTGGCTGCTGGCCCCCAGCTCTCCTGCACACCCCACACCCTGCACCCCCAGTCCTCCTGCACTGATCACACCCTGCACCCTCCAGTACCGCAGGACCTCTGCAACCCCAGCACCCCTGTGCCCTGCATCTCCCCCAGCCAGCCCTGCCCACACTGCCTGCACCCCTCAAACCCTGCACCCAGCACCCTCAGCATCCCTGCAGCCTGCACCTGAACCATCCCTGCACCACTGCAGCCTGCATCTGAACCATCCCTGCACCCCCTGCAGCCTCCACCTGAACCATCCCTGCAGCACTGCAGCCTGCACCTGAACCATCCCTGCAGCACTGCAGCCTGCACCTGAACCATCACACAGACATCACTTGGGGAAACTGAGGCCTGAGACCAAGCACAGCCTCCAAAGCAGTGAGTGGCCCACCACTGAAGAAGAGAGCAGGTGGCTGAGGTGCTCTCTGTGCCCATGGAGGTCCCATGGCAGCAGGTGCACCTCCCTCAGGGCTGGAGCTCCAGGTCCCCCCTCACCCGCCGGTGCTCCCCGAGCCTGGGAACCTGCTGGGGCCTCGCCACCCCTGGTGCCACCTTGCCACACCCTCCTTTGGACAGGGTCCCTGCTGGGGCCTCGCCACCCCTGGTGCCACCTTGCCACACCCTCCTTTGGATGCCCTGGGCAAGGGGCACCCTGGGCAGCTCCTGCCTTGGCCGCTGGCCAGGCACTGCCATGGCTGTACCTATGGCAGGTGACACCAGGGGGACAGCGGGGCAGGAGGGCAGAGGGGCTCGGTCCTGCTGTGTGTGCCAGGGGTCCCAGTGGCACTCCCAGGTGTGTGGGGGGCTGAGGTGCAGGGGGGCTGGTACCGGTGGACTGGGGTGTGCCCCCTGGCACGGCTGGAGGGGCTGGTGCCAGCCGTGCCAGGGCACTGCCAGGGGTGCAGGGAATGCGCCTGCCGGTGCTGGGTGCAAGTGACCAGCATAGGGGGCAGTGGGGGTGACGGAGGTGGGGTGCTGGGTGCAGGTGACCAGCACGGGGGTCACAGCACTGATGGAGGGGGGGTGCTGGGTGCTGGGTGCAGCGGGCACCAGGTGAAGAGGCGCTGGGAGCACAGGAGGGCGGGCTGGGGGGATATGGGGGTGCAGGGGCACGGGGTGCAGGCTGCAGGGAGACTGGGGTACAGATGTGTCGGGGCGGGCTCGGGGGGCTCTGCAGGGCTGAGGGGTGCAGCGGTACGAGGGGGCACCCCCCTCCCTCAGGCCGTACTGTGACCTGAGGAGCCCTGCGTTACCGAGCGTCGGGGATGCCGGCAGTGACCAGGGCAGGGCTGTGGGGTATTCCGGTCTGTCCGGTCTGTCCGTCCTGTCCGGCCTGTCCGTCCTGTCCCTGGCCTCCATTGCGCAGCGGGTCCTCCGGGCCGGCAGGGGGCGCGGCAGCGGGGCGGGGCAGGCGGCGCGCGGGCCCCACCCGGTGCGGCAGCAGGGCCCGCGGCGCGCGGACAATACCGGCGGCGGCTCGGCCTCCCTCGGCTCCGCTCGGCACCGCTCGGCTCCACCCCGACTGGCCCCGCCCTGACTCGGCCTCGCTCGGCTCCACTCGGCCCCGCTCGGCCCTGCCCGGCCCGGCCGCGCTCGGCTCGGCTCGGCCCCGCTCGGCTCGGCCCGGCCCGGCTCCGCTCGGCTCAACTCGGCCCCGCTCAGCGCGGCCCGGCCCGGCCGGCATCATGCTGGCGCTCTTCAACAAGCTGCTGGACTGGTTCCGGGCGCTGTTCTGGAAGGAGGAGATGGAGCTGACCCTGGTGGGGCTGCAGTACTCGGGCAAGACCACCTTCGTCAACGTTATCG